AAAGAGCATAATATTTATAATGAACATGTAGGAAATGTCAAAACCCTAATAGTAGAGTTATTGATGAAATTGGATACCAAAAAATAGAGTACAAAACAAATTTCAACTCCCAATGGGTTTCCAAAATAAAATTTCAACTTAACATAATACTCCAATAGCATTCCAAGCTGAATTCTTCTTGATATGCACTTCAATTAGAATTTTTCAATTATTTCAACAAGGAATTCGGATGACATCCAAATTCTAACGGTCACTGAGAAAATTTAGATAATTCATTATTTATCTAGGTCTAAGAATGGCCATTTAAATTTCTCGAAATTTAAATGAGACGATACTTCGAAAGTCAAAAAAGATTATAATATTTTTTATTTTTTTCTTATTCAATATAATTCAAGGTAGTTGCATTTTGTTTGTCTGCTTAAGACAACATGATAATGGCTAATTATCTTTAATTAAACTAAAGCTGGTTTTCAGAACTTTAAGGATTTTATTTGCTTCATTAATTAAAGTGGATAGGATAAGTTAGGCTAAAAGTTATATATACGACCTTCACTTTTACATCAAAATTCTTTATGTTTCGATGGAACTTTGGGAGACAAGGAACAACTTTCATCGTATTCTCTATAAAGATAATTAATATCCAATAAGATAAATTAAATGCGATGAGTGAAAATACGTTACAGCTCGAAATATTGTTGTTAACTTTTTGAGATGGACCTCGTAATCATATTAACAATTCAAGCAATCTTTCATCATGACTATTTAGTTTTTTTTATAATTTGAGTTACCGATAGAATTCTACGAGAAATTTAAATTTCTTAAAATATTTAATTTTCTCGAGACAATTCATCAAAGAAATTAAATTATTTTTTTATTACCAACATATTTTTGTCATCAATGTTAATTATTTTTTATATTTATTACTTTATTTACCACTGGAAACTTTCTTACCTAAAAATTCAATTTTTCTTTTAGTTACACTTTGTTTCTTAGCATATGTCAGTCTAAGACAACATAATCATAGCTAATTAATCTTTAATTATACTAATGCAATTTTTCAGAACTTCAAAGATTTGATTTGATTTGATTAATTAATTAAAGTTGGCAGGAAATTAGGCTAAAGTTATATAAACAACCTTCATTAATTTACATCAGAATGCTTTATATTTCTCACTATTGGAATGCGGGAGCAGAATTGCCCAGGAATTAAAATTTTCTTTAATTTAATAAACAAGATTGTCTACATGTATGTTATATCAAGAATTAAAGATTCGAATTTTATCTAAATTCGATGATCGATTCTTGAACAAGTTATGAATCACGGGCTTCCAACTTTTAATTTCAAGAATTCGACGCTTCAAACATCCAAATCTTCTATGGTATTCTCCAAAGTTAAGAATTAATTTCGAATTCGACTTATCAAATTCCATCGATACTTACATCCGATACTTACATCCGACTTATCAAATTAAGAATTAATTTCGAATTCGAATTCGACTCATCGATACTTACATCCGAATCGGTTTGTGATGGGCAGGGCCCATGGACCGATCGTTGCTACCCATAGCTACACCTAGATTGTTTTGATGATCCAATCCCACCTGTGGGCCCTGAGTTCTTGTTGAGGCCCAAGAAAGTATTTATGGGCCATCCGCAGGGCCCATGTTGTGACAAAGTTCAACTTGCAATAGGCTTTGGCCCAATTGACAGTTATGGGGACAAATAATGGGCTTCTTTGACAACTTCAAAAGGCCTAAATTTGTGAATATATAAGTAGTTTTTACATCTACGTACAACTCTGGTTAGTTTCGCTAATAATTTCTTGCGCACAGGTATGTTTTCTTTATATCTTACATACCCATAAATTTTTTTAATTATTCCCGTTGATTTACGTAATATCTCCATATATAAATTCTTGATTTCGTTGAAATTTTGCGGATTTCTTGATCTTAATGAATTGAAACACCTTGATTTTGATCTACCCACATCCTTTTGAATCGGCATCTGAATCTTGATTCTTTTAATGGTTTTGTATCAGTTCTGATTACTATTGGTTTTATGGATTTGATAAATCTTTAGTTTGCCTAAAGTTTGCACCTTTATCAGATTTGAGAAAAAGAATTAAATAAGCAGAACAATGCTTGATTTGAATTTCTTGTAGATTTCAATTTATTTAAACATTATTGCATTTGAAAGTGAAGAGGTTTTGTCTTTCGTAAGATAATTGAATAATTATATTGTGTCCACTAATTTACTATGGTTCATATTTGTGATATTTGATGCTTCTGAAAAGAAATCTAATTGTATAAAATCAGTTTAGTTTGTGCAACTCTGTAGATTCTGTCTAATTTTTGTCTGATAACTTAAATTTTGGATATTTTGATTCGTATTTTAAACATTGCAGATTGTTAGAAAACGAGATTTAATAAAAAATAAATTCAATAAGAAATGGCTGACCAGAAGAAGAAGCAATTCGCCAAGGTCAACCAGCTGCGCCCGTTAGACACTGGACTTAATTTAACTGTAAAGGTTGTCAATGCAAAGACAATAGCACCGAGAGGCCGTGCTCAAGGACGCCTTGCTGAATGCTTGGTGGGAGATGAAACGGGAATTATTATTTTTACCGCCAGAAATGATCAAGGTTGGTTCTTCTTCTTTCCGGAATGGCAAGTAGTTACTTTTTATTGCATTGTCTCTGTTAGTTTATCTGATAAATATTTAAAAAGTCTGGGTACTGATGCGTTTTATCTCTTTCGGATGCCTCGTAAGCGACAAGTTTGCACATGTCTCAAGATAGAAAAATATAAAGAATTCAAAAGAATATAAAAGTACAAATTTATGTTCTTAACATACCATGAAATCTTTTTATAAAATTCAATAATAAAACTAATCAACAAATTTGGTAATAATTAATTCTCAGATTAGTAATCATGTGACAAAATTATAATCTATTCCTATGAATGGAGACAACTGAAGAATTTTTATATCATTACTGCTAATATGATCTTTCAGGGAATAATTAATATTGCCGTCATTGTAGTCGTTATAAGTGTGTTTTGATTCTTAGTTATCTTCCTTTGATTTCAATGGTGCATTGTCCATTTCATTTTCCTCCGTGTAGATTGAAAAAAAGAAATTAAAAGAACCCGTAAAACATTTTAGGTTATAAAGAAATAACTAAGAAGGCTAAGGTGAATTATTAAATGTTTGAAAAATGCAATTGAAATGGCGTACACCTTTAGTTGGCCTGATGCTTTGGCTCGGTGTGTAAGCGTTATAAATGGCATTTAAGGTGCAGGGTTTGAGTTGTTTTATGATAGAGCGGGATTTGAGGCATAATCTCGAATAGATTTTTTAAACCATGTATCTGATATCAGAATGTTGCTTGATAATGCTGTTGTATTACAACGGCAATTTGTTTCCTCAATTTTAATAAAGCTTGAATTGTGCATTCATTTTGTAGTTGTACTGAGCTTTTCCATTTGTTTCTCTTTATTTTCTTTCTTTAGTCATTTTTTGACGAATGTTTTTGGCCCTCATAAGGGAGATTCTGTTGGCATTCATACTTAGACTGTTTCTTATAAAAAAGCTCCACAGTAATAATTTATGTCCTGTCAGTCTCACAAAAACACGAGTATGAACGCGTACATATGTTATCTCGAAAGCTTATTGCTGGCCTTGTTGATTGTTGTGTTCACCAAAATTTTTCATTAGACTTAACTGACTTCATTCTATATCTAGACTGGAAATTCACCTGACAATATGGTTTGTTTATCTTGGAAAAGCGACTTTATTGGCATATGGTTTTCCGGCATGTGTCTAGCCTTGTAGTGCTCCATCAACTGAAGACAGTCAACTGCTGTCCATTTCTGCATTTTGTTTGGACATACGAGTTTCTTGGTCCTACGATAGCTGTCCATTTCTATTATTATATTCCTGTAGTTGAGACTTGGAGTTCCTTCATCCCTTCGATGGTATTGTGTTGCTGGGCATAGAATAGATATTGGCTTATGATGTCTTATTCTTTCGTTGGATGCTGATATTCTCATTTCCTATGGTTGTTTCAATTTGTTGTAAAATGCGGGTTTTGCTTTTCCGTTCTTTCTTTATTAGTTTGAATGTTTTATGCTGACGAATTGCCTTATCTCTAGTGGACTTGGTGAAAGACGGCAACACCCTTGTCCTGTCAAACGCGAAAATCGACATGTTTAAGGGATCAATGAGGCTTGCAGTCGACAGATCTGGCCGGGTTGAAGTTAGCGAGCCTGCTAGTTTCTCTGTGAAAGAAGATGTCAATATGTCATTGATTGAATTTGAGCGTATTGATGTTGTGGTTTAAGGCTGCTCAGGATTAGGCATGTTCACAGACCGTCGTTGGTTGCTTCCAACATGTTTTATTTGCATACTTTTAAGGATTGTAACTTTTTATCATCTTAGGAGAACCAAATTCACCTGGCTTTCTGTTGATGTGTCTACAGCAGTAATTTTGTGGATCTTTTCAGGACCTGTAGAAGTTCACAATTTGACTGTTATCGTAAAGTTTTGTTGTTTATTACACTGATTTACTTCTTGTAGTGCAATGTCTAATTTGGTTCTTCCTTCAGATAGTCCTAAATTCTTCTGAGGCAAAAGTTGCAAAGGTGAAACCAGATAGATGACCATGGATCAATGCAGAGTGTACTGTGACAAACTCCAAATGTTCACCACAGAGCACTTAAATCTAGTTCCAACTTTTAAATGTTGCATATTCTGCAATGTAATGCTTAAATTAACATTGCATTTTACATAATGGAATTTGCTTCGCAGTTTTTCTCATACTGTTCTACACACGAACAAGGAAACTTACTTTCTCCAAACCCAGCCACCCAAAAAAGGGATTAAATGAAGTAAGTTACACGCGTATGTCTGCACTCCTGCACATATCTAACTTGTCAAAGTTATAGCCCTCGAGCGCCAGGTTTACTGAAACTTAATTTGCCCTTTTAGGCGCCAACGAACAGTCATGCTAGAACTCCCGAGGAAACGGATGGTGCATTGCTGCTTTTACTGAAACCTGCTAAAGGGAATGAATTTGTATCTTCGTTAAATTGCCGATGCTGTGCTTCAGTAAAAAAATAAAATAAGGGAATACCAGTGGTTAACGTACCTCTCTTCTTAAGCTTATTTCGGAAGCTCCTTTTTCTGCTAAAAGCCTTCTCCTGCAGCCATAGGAGAATATGATGATGAACATTGCATAGATAACTCTTGTATTTAAAAATTCAAGTTAATGTGTGTTACTATTTAATATTTATCAGGAGGAAAACACAGCACTAAAAACTTGATATCAGAATAATTGGAGGCCAAATTATACTTCCACAAACTACAGCCAAAGCAAAAGATACGTAATTGCAAATTTATTTTTAAGAAAAAAAATTGTTGGCGAGAAATTCAAGTTTCATATATTACCATGGTCAGACCAAGCTTCTCAGCCTGACGAACTGCAGAAACGAGTTCATGGCTTGCTTCTGTATACAGGCTGGTAACAAGGCCAGGTTGACCTGCTCTAGCTGTACGACCCACTCTATGCAAAAAATCTACCGCGGAAGAAGCAAATTCTGCCTGGAACAATAATCAAGATAGCTATTAGATTTAACTGAACTCATCATCAACATACTATGATAAATATGGAGAACAAGATAACAAGATCTTCATGTAATCTGATTATTTTAAGTCAAGGCAATGATAACTCTTTTGTTTAATTATCCTTTTTACTATCAATGGCATAATTCAATGCAAATGAGCACCGGATATGGGCAATATTCAACTTCTCGCGAAATAGATGATTTATTTATCAGGTTTGTTGATATTCCATTCTGATCTCTTACGAAAGAAAAAAGGTGGGCCAGTAGCCATCTTATTACATTGAGAATACATTCACCATTGAGTAGAAAGAAACATAAATAAATAACAGTAAAATAGAAGAAACGGATGTACTACAATTTTGGCTTTGTTGAAGACTTACGACAGTAGCCACATTCTCCATCGGGTTGGGGAAGAGCCACGCGGTGATAAATTTGGATTGGGCAGTTTTAATTAGTTAAGGTAGTTATTTAATTTGATCAAGTGAGATGATGGTTCTTCCAAAAGAGAAATGAGTGTTTTACATACCTGATATCATCAAGCAAAAAAGTGAACCAACCAATTACAAATAATTTCCTTGACATAATTTTTCAGGCAGGCCTTTCTTTTCTCCATCAAGAAACGCAAGTAAAACCACTCTTCTCAGATCTCTTTTATAAATATTTTGAATCGATTAATTTAGAATTTTTCTACCAATTGATCAGCATACTCTTTCCCTTTTATGTTTTACACTCCTGCACGAGCCACCTGCTCACCAGGAAACCCAAACCATCTTGCTTATGTTCCTTGAAGAATTAAAATCAGCAACATAAAACTTAGTCGTATTCACACTAAACTTGGGGTCAACTGTGTAAAAGAAAAGAAAAGAAAAATTGCCCTCCATTGGATTGAGTGCTGCATCTACTGAAAGCTTCAAAGATATTAAATATGTAGCAATCAAACCAGGTTATATTAATTTTGGTCTCTCCCTCTCTAATCTGTTGTACTAGGATGATGCTACTCATTGAAATGAAAAAAGAGAAAGGCGACAGACGGGGTAAGAAGGCCGACCACGTAGGGGGAGCAAACAGAAAAAGTCGATCTTTTCGGAGCGGACCAATCTTCCATACCGCTCCCCTTTCTCTCTATAAAAAAAAGCCTGCGGGAAGAGCTAAGCCACTAATGTCTGGCTAAGGTTATACCTCATAAAGTCAGAGAAGCTAAGGTTTCGTTATATTTTATACTCTCTTCTTCAGGACTATACAAGACATGTCTCAACTACATATATCATCCTTTCCACGATTTTTCATCTGACGATGCTACATCAATACATTTATGTACATCCTCGTTCTTATTGGATAATTAAAAGTCAACTAATTATAAATAGCCATCTTAAGGAGATAAAACTAAAAAGAGTTAAACGGATGCTGAGTGCAAATATTACTGGCTTCTAAACTTTTGCACATAATTGGCTGAAGTCAGACACTAAATTACATCTCTGTGCATGAATGAGAATGCAGACTCATAGAATTGCAGGTCTGCTTTATAATCAAGAGTGTAAAGATCAAAATGATTGAATCAGTAAGAAGAGAAGTACCTGAATAACATGTGAAACATGTGGGATATCAAGTCCACGAGAGGCAGCATCCGTGCACACAAAAACGCCACCTTTCTGCTGGAAACTAACAAGATTCCTGGTACGCTCTTCTGGAGAGACGTCACTATGGAAACGGGAACATTCAACTCCAGCTCCCGTCAAGATCTTAGCAACAGCTTCAACAGCCTCAACAGTGTTAGCAAACACCATGGTTCTAACTACTCCAGAACTAGAATCCACGGAAGAACTCAGTCCATCATTAACAGCATTTATGAGAGCATCCACCTGACTATCAGTTGTAACTTCAATCCACCTCTGTTCCAACCTGAAACATGTAAAAGGAATCCAATCCACTACATGAATAAATACATGATGGGATGTTGTTACAAGATAGTGTGACTGATAATCAAGCAAAAATAACTAAACTAACGAACTTGGACTTTGCATTTATATCACTGAGAAACCAAAATAATTTCAAGTGGCTCTCAATTTGAACATAGCGATAACTGCAAAGGTCAGTGACAGAAGAAATTAAAAGAATGAGTAATATCCAGTTATCCATATTTGAAATTTCTAACCTGATGACCATATTCTGAAGCAAATTACAAGTTCCAATAATTTACTGGCCATAATATAAGAATTCTCTTTCAAGTGATATAAGTGGTCGTGGGAGACTCAAGAGAATAATTTATTAAAAGGCACACTACATATACTAGCCATCCATCAAGGAACTGGATCTTTTTTTTTTTTTTTTGGAAGGTAGGAACTAGAAAATTACATTAACAATAAAGTAACAAGAGACTAAGACAGGCACCTGGGATTATGGCAATGGAGATAATTTCCGCTAACCCAATTGGCATCAGGAAACATTCTTTTTAATACTCCTCCAGCAGTTTTCTTCCCATTCACAGGAAGTGTTGCTGCAACAAATATGTATTGCTTACTGCGTTCATATATTTTTCTAACCCTCCTCCAGTCTTTTCTGTTTATAAACCCAGATTTGGTTTCTGTTTTCTCCAATTCGGAATTATCGTCAGTATCTTCGTCTTCTTCTTTCACATTGGAATCTGTTTGCGGGTAATCTTCATCTTCCATATCCGAGACTTTCAGGGCAACAGAATTCATGTCTTGTTCACCAGAATCTGTACTTCTCGTGCAAGATAACTGCTTCTCATCAAATCGAAGCATGTTTATAAGACGAATTACTTGATTCTGAAAACTTCCACAAAGAAGCAAGTCTGCTTCATCAAAAACCTAAAAGTTAATGGAATTAGATGATTAAGATAGAGATTTGAGATATATTGACAAAGTTAAATCAAAAAATATTGTCAATGTAATAGAAAATACCACATATTTGACACCGCGTATGAAGTCAGCGCGTCTACATTTTTCCGTGTCGATTGCATAAAGGTAATTCAGAAGCGCAACCGGCGTCGAAACTATTATATCTGGTTCTTTAAATGGCAAGCCCTGCAGTGAAATTACTCATCCATAAGAAACACAAAATGATGAAATTTCACCAGTAGACACAAGCGACTAATTGTTAGATCAACAACAAAATTAGTACTCATATTTCAGTACCTGGCGGCCACAAATAGCGGCAACTCTGAGAAGTGGTTCGCCGCTATCACCACAGAGGGAGTTAGCCATACGAACCACTTGCTCACACAGCATTACATTTGGGCAGAGTACAAGGGAAAGCAGGCGATGCTTCTTCAGTTTTTGATCATCCACATCACTTTCTGAAACATCTGATGTCCTACATAGCTTATCTACAAGAGGAATCAAGTACCCATGAGTTTTGCCACTACCCGTCTCTGCTGCAACCACCACATCGGTTCCTGAGAGTATGCTTGGTATGCAGACAGCCTGAATTATATTAATACATAAGCGTCTCACAGCGATGAACTATTAACTTAAAAATTATAACTGCAAATCACATTGATAAGATACTTTAAGTTGGAATTGGGATAATTCAAAGTCTAATTTGTTCACAGATTCATTAACAGGAACACAAAAAGTAAAGAAAGCGACAAAAATTATATCAATCACATTTTCTCACTGATGTAAGAAATTAAAAGCATATGTACACTGCGTTTTCTATTGTTCACAATTAAAGTGACGAAAAATCAAATCTTGGCGCTGAATTTGAGAGGGCCAGCGAAACTTCAAAATTTCCAAACAATAAAAAATAAAATAAAATAAAGAGTACCATCTTTGAGCTGTAGAATAGGCTCAAAAAATCTCAGAATTACGCCCGAAAATCGCAATCTCCAATAACCAAATCCCAATTTTAAAAAATGAACAAAAAATTATCTTTACCTATGATTAATAGAAAACAAACTGAAAAACATTAAGCACCTGAACCAAGGAAGGTCTATGGAGCCCAACATTAGACAAAGCCCGAGAGATGCCATCCGAAACACCAAGAGACGCCCACGAAACGCTTTCTTCCGCAAAGAAGGTGTCAGCGTCGCTTCCGTTTCTATCGGTGGCGGCGGCGGTCCCAAATGCTCGGATTTTTTTGCGGTTTGGAGAGTGAGAATTGCCACGAGTGGTGAAAGACAAGGTTGTGAGTATCAGTAAGGAGTGACTTCTCGTAAAGGGTATGAGAAATTTTGGAGGAGACGAAGTTTTGCAAGCACTGAGCATTGAAATTGAACGCTGCAGCATCGTTCTGTGTTGATATGGGTTTTACGAGCGGAAACTGGGAGGTTTTGCTGGTCGGGTGTGAGCCGGGCTACTTATATGATCCGGTTCGAAATGGGCTACCACGTTTGGCCATGTTAAAACTTCAAATATTTGCTTATTTTAGTAAATCTTAAAATAAAGTCGTTTCTCCATGGAAATTTCTCACCTTTGCCTTTTACCATAATTCAACTTTGTCGTTTCAATTCTCGTCAATAGACTTTAGAAGTCATCTAATTATATTTTTCATCCAAATTGTTCTAAATAACATTAAAAATGTCTAAGAGTGTCACTGTAATTATCTCGAACTTCTGCGATCTAAAAGGTAGCAATCCCTCTAAGAAGTTGGTAGTGGAGGGAAACTCAGGCATAGCTAGTTAGTAGATTTATCAAACAAACCGCAACCGCCAACTAAAAACGATCATGCTCATGTAAATATTAATTAATTTAGAATATGGAGATGAGAATAACTTATGGGATCAATTATGACTTTGATGATACATACTACTTCGATAAACCATAATAATTTTATTGATAATACGTGCAACAAACTGTGATTTTGGAATCGATGCATTTAATAGATAAAAGATCGATGCAAACTATGCATGTTGCTGTAGTGATTCACGACAAGTCACACGGTCATCACGTTGGCGGCTTCACAAGGACGATGCTTTTCATTTGGGTTATATATTTATAACTTGTTTGGAAGGTGAAACTTATAATACTAAACAACACTAAAAAAGAAAAGAAGCCGAAGTCATTGTTAGTTGTAGTGTCTAGTCTTGAATAATACCGCGAACGAAATGTACACAAGGAATGGAACAGAAGTAAAGTTCATATTTCTCTCTACAAATCTTTTGTCGATGATAAATCTCCATGGTTTTATTGATTCAGGCTGAGATTACTGGGAGATTCAGACTCGATGACACGGGACTGTTTCCTACTACTCAAAGTTCAGGTGGCAAACGGGTAAGGATAGAATTCTAGTTATAGTAAGTAATTTAGCATTTCATTTATATTTAAGGCTAACATTAAGAATATAAAAAGAAAAGAAAATAGAATAGAATGTGAAAAGGTTCAAAATAAATTGCAATTGATGCCTTTAAATCTATATGTACGTAATGGATTACTTGTAGCATGGTGAAGTGTGGAAAAGTCAAAAATTGTAGACTGCCGATGGATGTGCGCCACATGTCAATTATGTAATTTATTATGTAAATGATTATGTACTTGTAGCATGGTCCTATAGATTTATCCATTTGAGACCATGTTACAAGTATATAATCATTTACATAATACATTTACATAATTGACATGTGATGCACATTCGTCGATAGTCTACAATTTTTTACTTTTCCACACTTCACATCCAAGGTCAGATTTCTTCCACATGGGCCTATGTAATCAATTATGTATCTATATGTACATAACTATTGTACATTACTCTTGATATTACTGCCGCTCTAATTTGGAATCAAAGCCATCTGCCAAATCAAAGGAGGCATTAACACAACTATTCTTGCAAAGGTGGTATTAAGAGCTTGTTTGGGATAAATTAAAATCCAATTAAAATTGAAAATATAGCCGTTATTGGGTCTCACTCGTCTAATAAAAGTCAACAATAACGGCTAGTTTTTCAATTTTAATACGATTTTAATCTCTACCAAACACACTCTAACTAGAATAAGAGTCTAAATCCAATTAAAATTGAAAATATAGCCGTTATTGGATCTCACTCGTCTAATAAAAGTCAACAATAACGGCTAATTTTTCAATTTTAATCCGATTTTAATCTCTACCAAACACACTCTAAGACTTGAGTTTCATAAAAACAGGACAGAAGTAGCAAATAAAATCGTAACTGTCCAGTCCAACATAGTAAACAAGAAATCAAATGGGATGCCTAACTCCGACCCGATTCAATATATGGCATTGTCTATCTTAACTCCTCAAACTAGAGGAGGCAAGAGCTGGTATTTATGCCACTGAATTTCAATATATGCCGCTGTAATTACTTACTGAGAGGCAATACACTCAAGCCAATCAGCTCGGCCAGCTGCAAATTTTAACTTCTTAATTGCATTTAATCATTCATGCATAGATATCATCCCGAACCAAAAACACACTTTCATTTAACACAAAGCAACCGAATAAATTATATGGAAAAAGAAAGTAACAAAGCATATGCTTACCAAATGTAATTTCTAACTCTCAATGAAAAACTAAATGTCAAAATTGGATCAACATACACGAGAGATCTCAATCAACCCAATGAACGATCCTCCACAACATCCATAAAGCCCTTTCAAAGCTTTCGATGCAACTTCCAGCACAACATGGTGAAGTATGAACCCTCCCTGCAAAAGACAAAATAGTGAATGAAATTAGATTTGATAGATTGAATGTGCAATCAAGCTAGGAAAATGTCACTTGTACACTCTTTTGTTCACATTACAAGTGTTGGCAAGTGTTCATTGACCGGGTGAAAAAACTGTCAAAAATTTAAACTGTCCAACGGTGTGTTGCTTTGTGGCAAAGTTTAAAAAATGACGTAAAGGATGATGTACATGTAGCATGATTGATCAAGCTATAGCATGCTTAGAAATGCACCGTTTGCCTGACAGGAAGGAAGGCATAAAGGCAACATAAGGCTATAGAAAGATCTATTAAGTGTACCACAAACAGAAAAGCAACGAATCAAATAGTTACTGCGCTCATGGTGATTTCCATAGTCTACTTTGGCTTCTAAAACTCCAGTACAGTAATTACAAATTTCTTGCTTCTTTTTTTTCCATCTTTCTTTTAAGAGAGTAGATGTTATCTCTTCCCTTTTTGGGGTGGGGAGGGGACTGGGCGAGAGGCAATATTATTCTGGGTGCTAAGCAAGATTAGTGTGTCCAACAATGCAGAAATCAACCTCATATGCAACAAGATTCTAGAGGTTATACCTGGATGCTACTAGCGCCTGTCCGTTTTCCCAGTGGAGCGCTTCCCAGAGAACAAGTGCTTTGGTCTGAGAGTAGGAATGACTCTGTCTGCCTCTCCTTTGCGAGCATCTTTGTTCCTCTTCTTGTGAGATTTTTCTGCCAGTTTTATAGCCTTCTTCTTCTGAGCAGAATCTTTCAAGCCCTCTCCTGGAACCACTTCATACGGTGGCCGTGATTTTGACCTCGACCTCAACTGGGATCTCGACCTCAACCGCAGCTTCTTATTTGGTTGGTTACCATCCACGTCCATATCATCGGTACCATTTTGATCACCCCTGTCAATTGATCTCTCCCTCTTACGACCCCTAGACTTGCTACGAGCACGGTTGATTGCCAGAGTTGGATCAAGTCCCAAAGTTGATAACTGTCTTCCCATCCTTTCTGACGTAAACTGTTTGTCTTTATCGAATTTTCTGGGTACAGTCGGTCGGCTCTCTGCAGTGCTCTTCTTAATCCTGTGCTGTTGAATGAGTAAGCTTTTCTTCTTTCTAATTGCTGCCAGTGCCTTTTGCTCTTCAGGGGTCAGTTCAGCCCCATCCATCTCAAAATCATCATCTGCTTCTTGTTCTTGCCGCATGCCTTCTTCTCTCTCCAATTCTTCAAGCCTTTGTAATATATCAGGGTCAACGAAATCGTATACATTGTGCCCATCAAGAATTTCAGGCATGATGTCTTCTTTCCATTCATCATTTGCTAAAATATAATGCTTTCTCAAACTTGCAGAGTATACACCTGCACCTCCATTCTCATTCTCTAGATCCTTCTCCAGCTTCTTCTGCTTCTCTGCAGCTTGCTCCGCTTTCTTGGCTTTACCTTCTAAGACAGCCTCAGGTATACAGGGTGGCCTTTCCTTCTGGTCACGTGGTTTAGGCATTGCAACATGGAAGCGGTTCAGGCAATCATTCAACTTTTTCGACTTCATTTTTAATTCCACCCTCTGATCCAACAGCCTCTCACAAGCTGCATTCTTCACCGCAATAACACCCTCCTCAGTCAAAGTGCTCATAGTCAAGAGCACACCCTCGTCGTTTGCCGGCTCACCCCCTTGACCTATCAAAGTTTTCATAGCTTCTGATTTCATCTCCATGACCAGCTTCATATCGTCTTCGGAGATCCCTTCCAATGCCTGTAAGTCAGTCTTGTTGCAGACTATGATCAATGGTTTGTTCATGAACAATGACTTAATGCTGTGAAAAAGAGCCGCCTGCTGCGCAATGCTGTACCCGCAAGATCCAGAAATATCAAGGAAAAACAACACGGCAGCCCTTAAATGGGCAAGAGCAGTAATGCTGCACATTTCAATGATATTACGATCCTCAAATGGTCTGTCCAAAATCCCTGGAGTGTCTATCACTTGGTAACGTAGATATTTGTAGTCAGTGTGACCAACAAACAGTGATTTTGTGGTGAAAGCATAAGGCTGTACATCCACATCGGCCCTTGTAATTTTGTTAATAAATGAGCTCTTGCCAACATTGGGGTACCCACAAATCAAGATTGTCCGTGTATTTGGATCAATTGAAGGAAGCCTCGCCATGTGTTGTCTTATCTGTTCAAGATAAGCCAAACTAGGGCCAACTCGTTTAATGACAGTACACATACGGCCTAGAGCAGCAACCTTCAAGGACTTGCATCTATATAGAGAATCTCCATACTTCAACAATTTGACATAGTCCTTTGCAATCTTACCAATCAGGTTCCTAGCAGTATTGATTTGGCCAAGAGCAAGCTTGTAATGGTCTTTGTTGTACAGAACGTGTAGGAGGTCACCGTAGAAAGGGTGGATATCATCAAGCCGGGGAAACTCCTCAATAATGGTGGAAAGCTTATCATGAAAGTTTTGCTGCGTATATTTTACTTTACGCATGTAAAACTGACGGATGCGTGAGATGGCATATCCCTTATGAACAACAGTCGGTGTTTGACGTTGGGTGCGGGAGAGAATGATATCGATGAAGTCCTTTCCGGTGGGAACCACAGTAATCTTTTTAAAATTGTATTGAACCATGTCTTAGCCTTTGTTTATCACTGCGAGTGATGAAAAGGTCAAAATTTAGCACACAAGGAAATGCATAGCAATAACAAGCAATCTGAAACGATACAAACAAAAAAATTAAAAAAATCAGCCATTCTAGTTGTTCACAGCCATACATAAAAGTTGGTATTAAAAAAATTCCTATTTGGCGGTTGGAACACAGGCAGTCCAGCTGAAATGTAAATTCAACAAAAATAACATCACAAACTTTGCTGAAATGTAATACAACGCCACTTGCAATCTGTCTTAATGTAATACAAGTGTGAACTCTAAAAAGTTAAAAGGATTCAAAGATAATTCAAACATATATAAACCCTTGGAGGATAAAATTCATATCAACCTGCAAAACCATTAAAACAGCCTCTTGGCTCCACAAGCAAAATTTTAGTACCGAGTATTAAAAAATGAATAATATAATCTAGTTTCGAATTCCAAGCCTGAAAGGAAAGTTTGTGAACTGTGAAATACTGGAAAATAATTTATTTTCACAAAAATTAAATAGAAAAATGGATGCTATTTTATAGTTTACATGATTAAATATAAATAAATGCAATGAGAAGAATCTAGTCCGGATTTAAATAAACACTAGAAAATCCAATTTTCAAAATTTCTTTTACCTGCCGGCTTAAATTAGGGATGGGATTTAGGAACCGGTAGATCTATGATAGGGTTTTATTTACTTCATAGCAGGTAAGAATAGATTGCACTGACTGAATAGGTTAACCAAAAAGTAAAACAAAAATTGAAAGGTAATGGCTATTGGTTGTATTTTTCCACTCAACAGTGAGTGCCTAGGTAAATCCCTCCAAGGAATCGTCAATTCAGTGTCTGAAGAAGTAGCTACTTGCATAAAAACTATATAAAAAATTATTAAATTCAGGTTGTCTTTCCGAAAAGCAAAACAAATGCAAGAAAGAACCTGAAAGCTATTGGATTTGGATCCTAAAACTTTAATTACATTCAAAGAATAAAATCCCACAAAGGTAAAAGACAAGTAAGAGAAAATAAGCATGAGAAGATGGAGAGTCTGCCTCGGTACAGGAAAAAAAAATTCACATTATTGAATTGATAATTGGAGAAATTGCAGAAAGTAATTTGCTTGGCTTTGGCAGGGGAGTAAATTTGCCCCAACCCCAGGTTTAAGGTTTAAACTTTAGAGGAAGTGTTTGAGAAGTAGATTTTATATTTAATAGGAGGGAAAACCGCATGGAAGTCCCTGACTAGACTTCTATTGCTAATTTGTCTCTAAACTAATTCATCCTTTAACCTCCATTACTATAAAACCGTCATCTCAAGTATAGCGAGTATATTATTTTAGTTGTGCTTAAGATGGTACATGACTCTCAAAGCCCTGACAAAACTGCCACCTCCCATCGCCCTTTCAAATTCCCATGGCCCATTTTGCCTCCTCCCAAACCCCATCCGCCTGTGCCCCTACTGCACTTATATATTCAAAAAAATCAACCAAACCCAAAAACCACCATCCAAATCAAACCAAACAATTCCTTACTGGAAAACTAGGAAATATCCTAAAGTGCTTTCAGTTGTCCTCATCCAGCAACAATTACTGAGTAACAATGCTACAATATTTCCACTCTTTTCTTGAGGGTATGAACTACAAATAACACAATTCCAAAGAAAAACATAAATCCCTCTCAAGCAAGGGTGGAGCCACCTGGGGTCTAGTGGGGGCATTTTGGTCCGGCATATTTCACCTATTATGCTTGAGGGGCGGTCAGTTTTTTAAGGCAAGGAGAAGACGATAAACAACCACATAAAAAATTCAAGACAAAGGTTGTCGAGAAAATCACTGTTGCTAGAGGAAGATTACCATCAACAAAAAACAATTTTGTAAAAATAAATAAATTATAAGTAGTCGTGTTGAAATTAAAGCATTCACAACAATCAGATTGAGTGCCATTTCAACATAAAAGCCCGTCTTACACAAACAAAAATCCGATACTACCTTCCAACTTTGTTGATGAAGAAGTCGAGTACAAATCACAACTACACAAGATGAACTGGTGTCAAGAGGTGATGAATATGTTCCCTTTCTGCCTCTCCCACAGTTTGTAGCCGCTTGCTCCCCTTACTCTGAATATGCGCGCCTAGGTTATAGTTTGGATTACTGCATGACTTTTTATTGGGCTTTAGAGTTTGCTTGGGAATTTTGTTTATTTATTTTGTTTCCTTTCACCCCATCAATTGGCAATTTTTCTAATGTTTCTTATATTTTCTTCTAATTTTACCCTTTATAAAATAATTATTTTCAACAAAAATATTTTGTTTAAAATTAACTTACAAAAAAATATATTAACTAAAAAAATTATTTCTAAGCAAAAAAAATTACATTATAATTAAAAAAAATACTTATAAAATAAAAATTACTTTTGTCTAAAAATTTGATTATAAAGTAAAAACACTACCAATAAAACAAAAAATCACTTAAAATTATATAAAAAAATACTTATATTTAAAAAATCACTTATGTGTAAAATCACTTAGAAGTACAAAACTAACTTATAATTATAAAATTTACTTCTAATTAAAAAATGCTAACTTAAAATTTTAAGTAAATATTTAACTTTATTTAATTTCTTTTAAGTTAAATATTAATTTATATGTAAAAAAAATTGCCTAAAAGTAAAATATTAATTATGATTAAAAAGTTTCATAAAAAAACTATAAATTAAAAATTTGGACATATATATATTTTATTTTTTAAAAATTCAAAATTGATGAATAATAAACTCTAAAAAAATGGGTTGGACTGTTTTTAAAAATCGTTACTAAAACCACTCAACACAGGTCCATTCATAAACACTGAAAATTAATATTTTAAAAAACGCACATAGCTGTTACATCGAAACTCCCAAGCGGGCACTTAGGAGATTTTTTTTTTTTTTCATTCTAATTTATTTTTTAGTTGGATCTCAATCAATTGAGTAATAAATAAATAAATAGATAGATAAGTGGAAAATTTAACTTTTCCTTTTAACAAATTAAGTAATTATTAAAAATTTCTTAAATCATATGTTTAGGAATTTAATATTCAAAATTTTGTTTATAAATTTTTTTTTATATTTATGATATTTTCTCAAAATTATGGTAATTCAAATTATATGCTCTCTCTTTTATCACGATAAAAATTCAACTGATGTTAAAATTTCTTTAATCGTATGTTTAAGAATTTAATTAATTCAAAAATTTCATTTAGCCCCCGTTTGATCTACATTATTATCTCATTAAAATGAAAAATATGACCATTATCCATCACATCAATATTTAAATTCAAAATTTCCATATGTTATGCGGGTCTCAATAATGGCTATATTTTCATTTTCATTCTACAATAATTTGGCTCAAATATGGTCTTATATTTTTTATTATCCTAATCCTGTTACTAAAATTATAGTAATTTAAACGATATTTTTTTTATTGTAATTTAGAGGGAGTAAATCATTATTTGTACTGAGAAGAGATAATCATTATCTTTTCATTAACGTGGTCGAATGATCGCAAAATTTATGATCACAACTTCGTATAATATATGGAATACTACTCGTGAGCCATAATTGTATGTTACTAAAATCCCGTCAAAGGTCAAAATGCTTTCATTTGCCAACTATTTACATCTACGTGAATAATTGTCATATGAAGTTGTACTTGTCACAATTCTACGAGATAAAAATAGTCCGAGTCATAATTATTTTCACATTTTACACGAACTCATATGCATACTATATGAATTTGTTGCAGTTATACGATATAGAATTAGTTAGAGTCGCAATTATTTTTTATTAAACAACTCATCCAAGATCACACCTATGGCATTCGTTCATGTTAGAAGGAGTCACATGAAGTCACAATACACTTTCAACTTTTGCTAATTATAGGAATATATTTAAAAGAAATAAATTATTTTCATATATCTATCTATTAGTTCTCATATGAATTTCCTAGTTTAGGGAACCTAAAAAATTGATTCCAATACATAACATCTACAAAAGTATATATATTTTATTTTGGAGTGGCTTGATTTTTGCAATTTTGTGAAATAATATTATTTCTCAATCATGATTTTAATTATAAGAGTTATCAATTTATGTATCAATTTCATAATGTATCATTATCAAATACCGTACACAAAAATTGCTTTCTAATCTCAAAAATTGCTTTTTTTTTACCGTTTTGTGGCAGCATATGAGGCCCATTGTAAGATGAGAAGTCAAAAGAAATCAGCTGGCTCCTCTTGCAACGGTCCAAAAAGCAATTGAAATTGACTGTAAAATTGGAAACAAACAAGCTTTAGAAATATAGAGAGAAATTTGTTAAGAGTATTCTTTTGTAGGCCACTAAAACACTAAACCTAACCGACTATTTTATAACACAAGGGAAAGTTGCGTGAAAGTCCCTAACTTATTACTTTTATATTAAGTTCATCTCTAAATTATTTATTTTATTTTTATGGCATTTACGTTCAATTCTATTCCTCTCTAGTCCCTACTATACTTTTTTCTAAAACACAAGTTCTCGTTGTATATATCTATGAACATGTTTGGGATAACTTGTCGTAAAAATAAGCATTAAATGTATGGCTTATTTTTAATGTGAACACACCTAAGTTCAAAATAAGTCAACAATTTGGTATTTATCTTTAAAATAAGTCATACCAAACATGCTTTATATATAAGAGTTTCAAATATGATTAAAAAACATGGATGGATCTAGGACCTGACTACAAGTCGGACAAAAAAATGCACATTAAAAAAAATTACACTGGGTGTACAACCCAGTCCAGTCCCCCATACGCGTCCTTGTTAAAAATATACAACATTATTACAAAGAGTAATGTTATTTATTATCATGATGATAAAATATTAGTGACGTAGCAACCTATTATTCCTCACATCTTTCTCTCTCTCCCTCTTTCTCATCTTCTCCAATAAAAATTGAACCGTCAAATATCATTA